GCTGCTGCATGCGTGATGAAGCTTCGTGGGCGCAAAAAAGGCAACAGCACACACGTATGCTCTGCCGCTGCTGCTGCGACGTGTGCGCATCTGTTGTTGTTGTACGTGGTCGGTATATAGATTCGCAATCTCGATCCGTGGGTGGTCTACTACTGGTCTTTCTGCGGGGCGCATCGGATTGGAAGATTTTTCATCGCGTATTCTACTGTATAAATAAACGTGTTTATTGGAATTGAGACTGCGAAGAAAAAGCTCGAGCTACTACCGAAAAATCGATATTCGCGCGACGTTGCACACTGCTTAACATATAACGTACGGTACATGGTAAATTTTGCCCAATGTTACGCAACGCGAGCTCTTGCAACCAAAAAAAGCTCCGCAATTATTCGTGCTCAAGCTCCTTGGCCGCAGCTTTTTTTCAAATGCTCCCCGACTCCGATCTCGTTGTGTGCGCGTTATATAGTATACAAAGAGACTATAAGAATCAGTCGAGTGACTCGAGTGCGCGATAATTAAATTGACTAATTACGCGCTAAACGTGACTAATCACGGCTGCGTTACTGGATATATACTCGCGCGTTTATACGTTATATTGTATACGTAGCAGAGCGCGCGCGCGTGTCTTGCATTTCTAAAACGCGCGAGAAATCCGAGAACGCGGCGGCAGCGGAGGCCGCGTAAGTAAGTAAGTGGACGGAAAAAAACGACGCTGTTGCACTTTATAATGGCAATTGTACAGAGCTTGTATATTATTAGGAGATTTCCGCGAGCGTCGGGTGCACATTGCTTTTGTGCGCCACATGTATAAGACTGCTGTGTCTCTGCTGCAAGCTCGCGCGCTCTTGTGTGTAATGTGACGCGTTCGCTCTCCGATCGCTAGATGGCGCGTCGCTTTCTCGCAAGAGAAAAGGCCGAGTTGTGGCTATGTAAATTTATTTAACGCCAATAAAACTATCGATAATTGTGAGACCGAGTTATGCATATATAAATGGCTCATTGGCACTTGACATCAATTGTTAAGGTGTAGCCGGACGCTAGGTACGGTTTCGTATGCAACTCGAGATCCCTGCGGAAACCAAGTTTTTTTAGTGTTTTTTGGTGTGCTGAATCGATTTTCTTAGGGTGCCAAGCGCTAAAACGGTCCGTTCAAAAATTATTAACAAATTTATTGTTTGTAACAAATAAAATCTCTTTTAAAAAATCTGAAAAAATCACACGCATTCTTTGACTAATTTTAAGACTTTTTTTGGCCTTTGCATTTTTTCGTTTAAGACGCTCCTTATCAAGATAAAAAATCATAAAGGTGGTTTTTTACACTTAAGTTTTTCTAGAAACGAATCATATTTCTAATCTTTGAGATTTTTTTACTTGATGACGAGCGTCTTAAACGAAAAAATGCAAAGGCCAAAAAATTCTTCGAATTAGTCAAAGAAGGCGTGTTTTCTTCAGATTTTTTAAAAGAGATTTTATTAGTTATAAACACTAAATTTGTTAATAATTTTTGAACAAACCATTTTAACTTTTGGTACCCTAAAAAATCAATTCAGCGCACCAAAAAACACTAAAAAAAACTTGGTTGCCGCGGGGACCTCGAGTTGCATACGAAACCGTACTTAGCGCCCGAACTCTGGGATATTGAGGATAAATAACTTTTTCGGGGTATTATGTGTATATTTATTTGTCGATGCAAACGCGGATATATTCTTCGTACCCTTGCTCGTACACCTAGACAACGTCGTTTGGCGACGAAACGATTTTCCTGAAAAAATCAGAAATAGCTCGTGCCTCTCTCGCACACACGCAACGATAAAAACGGATAACTAATCTTCATCCATCATCGCTCGAGCGCGCACGCGAGCTTGAGAGCAGAGAGATGCAAATTTTTCTGTTCTCTCTCTCTCTCTCTCTCTCTATCACACAGTCTTGCTTGTGATGTGTGTGCGGAAGTGCGCGCAGCGCGTAAAAATTCCACGATAAAGAAAGAGGCAGAGATCCGCGTCGATAAATATCCGGCTGCAACGGCGTCGAAAGCGTCATCATGCGCTCGATGTTTATAGCTCTTTCTCTCTCTCTCTCTCTCTCTCTCTCTCTCTCTCACTCTCTTTCTCTGTGCGCAAGCACGGGGTTAAAACAGGCAAATAGCCTCTCGCACGCACACACGTACATTCATTATTATTATTATTTTATATTGCGTAACTCTTGGTCGTGGTGGTGGTGTGGCTGTGGTGGTGCGCGTCAAGATCAATGCCCACTTGCTCGCAGCAGCAGCGCGCGGCGCGTGCAAAATCGCGAATTTCACGCTATATATCCTTCTGTATGTACTATATAGCACTACTCGCGCGCGCAGTCGAGCTCCGTTGCTGCTGCTGCCATTGACTTTTAGCTCTCTCGCGCACACACACACTTCGCGCCTGCTGCCGCCGTTGTTGCGCAATAGGCAGTGTACGCCCGACGCGAACCGAGAGAGGCGTATTATATATATGATATAAGCTGGTCTATATCAAAACTTGAGTGTGTGTGTGCTGGGCGTATATTGCACTCGGCGACGACGACGATGAGGTGACGCTGGGCTATTTAACGATCCGTAATGACGATCGTCATCATCATCACCATCGTCGTTTCGACGTTCCGCGTCATCTTGAAAAAGGCGCGCGCGCGACGCGTTACGCAACGTTTGAAGAGCGCGAAGGGAACCGTTCATAATATAATATAATATAAGACTCGCTCCATGCCATATGTGCTCCGAAATGCAAATGCTCGTGTACACGCGCGCACCTATGTATGAAAATTTATTTTAGAAAAGCTCGCGCTAATATCGAGTTTATTTTCGTGTTATATTCGCATACGCGTACTGCTACCCGAGAGATTTTTGATTACCGAATGCGTAGTGGAACTTGAACCGTTTAAATATTATACAAATTTCGCGCGGCGTTACATCGTGTTAAAAAAAAAGGCAGCAACATCGCGACCGATCCAAGCTCGCTCCGTGTGTAAAGCACGATGTATACGCAACGCGATCCTATGAATCATAATCGCGCTCGGAGACGTGCTCGGTTTTTTTTCTTTCTTTCTCTTACGTAACTAACTTTTTTGAACTGCGTAACGATCTCCCCGTGGCGCATCGATCTCGGGGCAAAATTTCTCGATAAAAGCACTGTACGACGAAAAAAAAAAAATTGACACCTCGCACGTCGTGGGCGGCACGCCCCCGCGGAGGGATATACTACGTCGCATCGTGTTATAGCGTGGGGCACGCGTGTAAATCGCCCTCGTACACAACGTTGTACTATGTACAACAACAGCGGCGGCGGCGGCGGAGCAGAGATACTTGGAGACCGATAGGTCGCCGCTGCCGCGAGAGAATAAGCGTCAAATGGCGGAGCTGCCGATCGATTCTTTAGCTTCTCTTGAAAATTACGTAAGGTCGCTCGTGTAGTATGTGCCGGCTCGCGTATATATACGTACGGTACGGTATATATACTGTACTGGCATCTATCATCTCTTTTTGCTTCTTCTTCTTCTTCTTCGTCTATGTAAAAAAAAGAGATTGAAATCGAAAAATGTTCAACTATAAATATAACAATAATAATGATAATATATACTTTTATATGTAGTATATGACGATTGAAATCGAGCGTAACTAGAACACACGTACCGTGTGTGTGCACACGGGGGGTGCTGCTGCACCACAGCTATATAGAGCTATATAGAGGCGCGCAGAGCTAGCTAACTTATGTAACCCCGCACACCGCGAGTAAAATACTCGCGCGCGTGTGTGTGAGTGTGCTGCTTCGGGGCCGATTAAAAGATGTAACGAAATTGATAGAGAAACTCGGCGAGCGAGATTTCGAGCGTATAGATGTGTGTGTTTTTTGGCGACGCGCGACCTGATTCACGGCAAATATTATATTATGCACCTTCGACGCACGGCGCGCATCAATCATCGATGCCCACGTATATAACTCGCGCGATCGTTCGCACAGCTGCGCGCGTATGACTTTTTTTCCTCCTCGTCGTACTTTTTTTTTATCAATGATTAATGCGCTTTTCATGCACGAAGCGCAGTGCATACGTACGTTGTATGTGTGTGAGTGTGCGTTTGTATAAATATATATGCGAAATAAATTGCGCGTTTTTAATCAATTATTAATAAAATCGCTAAACTGATTGATGTTTATATAAATATATACGCTTATATTATGTATATAAAATGTTCAGCCGCTCGCGGCTACGTACAGCTACCTGGAAATATCACTCGATTCTACTCACGTTTGTTTTGTGCAAACATACGCGAGAGAGAAAAAAAGTGAATATACATCGATTGCGAAAAATTGACGTTATATAGTACGCACGCAGCAGCGCACGTTTCGCGCGCGGCCAATTAAAGATACCCGATGTAATGATAATTGTGTTTCGTATAAATACGGTGGCTCGATCGCGGCGGCTGCTTCGAATTGCTGCCAAACGCCGCAGAAAAATGCGCGTTATAAGGAGAGAGAGAGAGAGAGAGAGCTTAGAGCGCTGAATTGATTTTTCATTGAGCTGTTGCATAAGCACGTGGCGGCGGCGGGCCGCTGTATACACTACTATATATATTACTACAGCAGCGCGCGCACTTCGGTGCATGTAACGATTCTCTCTCTCCCTCTTTCGTATACACTTTTTTTCTCTCTCTTTTTTTTCCAACCCGCAATTGCCGCGAATGTGACGATAATGAATTATTTATTAATTTCGGAGCAGCGATCGATCGATCGATGCGTATACGTGCGTTACGCGCGCGAACGTTTCGCGCCTAGCCAAGAGCCTCCGTGCTTTCTTACAGCGATACACATAACGAGTATATATAATAAGCAATCCCGCTCTCTTTTTTTTTTCGTATGTGTCATGGGTATGGATAAAAAATCATAGTGTAGTAGCGAAAGATAAGTGGGTGGGGGGGAGACTCGGAGCTCCAAAATATATACACACACAATACAACTTTTTTTTGCTTTTGCTTCCAGCGCCGAACAGTCCAGTCTGTCTCTGTAGCAGGGCGCACGCACTTCTGCTGCTCAACAGGCCGCAAGCTGCTCTCGACGACACGGATCGCGCTCTCCGACTGCGACCGGACTGGGGCAAGGTGAGCTTTACGTTACATTTTATAATACTCTTCTTCTTCTTTGCATATCTAAGATACATTCTATAAGCTGATTTATAAGTGAAAAAGAAAAAAAATAAAAAATAAAATCTCGGACGTCTCAATTACGCTTTTTTCAAACTATGACACGGGGCTCGAGCTTAAGACGTTACACACGCAGCGAACTCTTGATATAATATAATACCGAATAGATATAGGTATTATATGAATATTATGACGAAGGCGCGAGCATCAGCAGCAGCAGCAGCACACGCGCGACATGCCAAGGCGCACATAAGACGCATAGCAGCAGCGGCGGCGGCTACGGCACATGCGATATTGTTACAATGTATCTCTTTGATAAATATGCCGTCGACGTCGTTCTAAAAGTGGACGTAACGTATCGCGCGCAGAGTACTGTCTCTCTGTCTTATATATGTGCGCGAGCGAGCGAGCTTAATTCTTTGCTCACTCAATTATATAAACGATCGCGTATATATATACTGCTGCTGCTACTCTGTGTATTAGTGTTTATACGCTGTGTACCGCGTGCGTTGCTGCGTTGTGTCACGACTCGCCGATCATCGGCGTCGCTCGCGTGCACTAATTTTTTCGACGACGACGGCGCAGCTTATGTAAACCGATCGTCCGTACTACACGAGTGCGTGTATGAATTTCGAATAAACGATCAAACTTAACATTTCAGGGTAAATACGAGCGAGGCCTGGCCTTATCGGCGCTGCGCAGATACGACGAGGCACTGGTGGTGCTGGGGGCGAGCGCCGTCCTCGACAAAAACCCATACAGAGCGAGGAACGAGTTCGCGAGGGTAAGTAACAACGAAATACCGATCGTTGCCGATTTTTCACCTCTTACACTTTTGCAACGCAGGTACTGCACCGAGTGATACTGGACAACGCGATCGAGAGACAACGCGCCAGGGCCGCCAAACACCTGCAGCGCGTCAAGAGTGTGTTTGGCCGCGACCGATCGCTCTACGATCCCTATCGTCGCTCGTCGCTGCATCTTCAGCCACATCGGATCGGTATCGATCCTCTCAATCATCATCGTCATCGTCATCATCGCGACATCGACGCCTCGCTCAACGACCAGACGTCTGACTGCGAGGACAACAATAGCGGAGGCGAGGACGACTTTCAACAACAGGTATACACACGCTAAAATTCTGCCTAAAGTATATAAAGACACGAGACCCATCTCGACGTTTCTTCACGATATATATGTTCGAGACGCGCGACGCTCGTTATATAAACACAACACACGCACGTTTCGTGTGATTGATTTCGAATCTTTACTCATTATCGCTCCGGCGCGTTGCTCCGTTTTTGTGTGCGTGCGCTACAAAACTCTCGATTATATAATAAATGATTATATTATTATTCTCTGCTAGCCGGGCTCTATATGTACGTGTGAGCGAGTGTCGCGCTCGATATCGTATTTATACGCGGCGTAGGCTGGTGCTGTATGTACAAACACACACAAGGGACTCTACTCGTGAAATATAAAATTACGTAACGGCGCGCGCGAACTGCCACCACCACCGCCAGCCGACACTTATATATACCTAGCTCTTTTCGTATTGTGTTTTAATTATCATTCAAGAAAGAGAGAGAGAAAAAGAGCTAGACACACACACACAAAACACAACGCAGCGGCCCGTTGCGAAATTTTGCGTATTATATACACATTTATATATTTTGAACCGGTGCGCGCGGCTCGATCGGCACGACTCGCGCCGCTGTATAAATGATTACATAAGTCCCCCCCAATATAAACTATCGTATACACACGACGGTGGCATATATTTACGCATATTCATTGGATCTTTTTTTTTGTTTCTCTCCTATTTCTGTGCTGCTGCTGTTTGGCTTCTTATATAGAACGACTATCGAAGGCCGCTAGTAACTCAAACACAACCGAAACCTCAGGACAATATGAAATTGTGCTCCATGGTCGACAGATTATCCCACGAAACGGAAAAATTAAAGCGTAAGTGTATACAAACATTATACGACTCGAGCGAGTTTTGACAGATGCGAGTAACTCTGTTTTGCGCGCTTCCCACACAGGACTGGAATCGTCACCCTCGGAAATTCTCCTACCGCCACCGAACGGCGGCTCGGCCGGCGGCGACTTGGACTGCATACTCTGCTGTAGGCTCCTCTGGATGCCCGTCACGACGCCGTGCGGACACACCTACTGCTGGACCTGCCTGGACCGCTGCCTCGATTACTCGTCCGCCTGTCCGCTCTGCATGACTTCCCTGGCAGATGTGAGTTTGCACACATATCGCGTTGCGCAACGATCGTAATATTCGCTTCTAAATGTGCGCATACGTGTGCATGTAGTTGCGTAAAAGGGATGAAAATCGGTTGCACATTGATTTTTGCTTTATAGAGACTCTTTGCTCAATCGCGCGACTCGCGAGTAACGGATTCACGAATTCGACGAATATCGCATTCATAACTCCACTCGTTTATAAATTAGTAGATTGGCCAATATACTTGTGCTACATAGGCGCACAAGGCGCTTATATAATTCGGCTCTTGTCGGTGTAATAATCGAAAACGAAGTCGCGCGCTTTATGTAATTTTTCGAAGTTTACAAATATTTGCGCGCCGCAATCGGCTTGCACAAATATGCCACAAATCGTTTGTTCATTAGCAAGGTCGTGACTTAATTTTTTCCTCCTCCTCCTTCGCAGTACCTGGCGAACAGCCAGAAGAGCGTCACGGACTTCGTGGAGAAGGCCCTGCTATGCGTCGCCCCGCAGGAGTACGCGGCTCGCTCCGCTGCTCAACGCCAAGAGCTGGTGCAGCCGCTACCCCCAGCCCTGACCCAGGTCGGCGAGCAAGTGGCCGTGTTCGTCTGCACGACGGCCTTCCCGTGCACGGCCTGTCCGCTCTTCGTCTACGAGCCGAGATACCGGCTGATGGTGCGTAGATGCCTCGAGTCCGGGGTCAGACAGTTCGGCATCGCGGCCTGTCTGCAGCAGAGGCCGGACGGATATCTGGATCTGGGCGCGAGGAGATACGCCGAGTTCGGGACGATGCTCGAGATCAAGGACCGGGTGCTGTTGAAGGACGGATGCAGTATTTTGAGCACAGTCGGTATGAAGCGGTTCAGGGTGCTGAGGGGCGGCGAGAGGGACGGATACGACACGGCCGAGGTCGAGTTCATCAGCGACGTGCCGATCAGCCAGGAACAGATGCACAGCGTCACCGAGCTGCACAAGAGGGTAAGCCGATCGAACGATAAAATAATATTTCGGAATTCTGCAACACCTTCTGCTTCCCCATGAAATAATATTTCGGAATTCTGTAACGTCATCTGCTTTCTCATGAAATGCAACAACCTCTGCTTCCCGATGAAATAATATTTCAGAATTCTGTCACTTCTTCTGCTTTCTCATAAAATGCAACAGACTCTGCTTCCCGATGAAATAATATTTCGGAATTCTGACACTTCTACTGCTTCCCCATAAAAACATATTTCGGAATTCTGCAACACCTTCTGCTTCCCCATGAAATAATATTTCGGAATTCTGTAACGTCATCTGCTTTCTCATGAAATGCAACAACCTCTGCTTCCCGATGAAATAATATTTCAGAATTCTGTCACTTCTTCTGCTTTCTCATAAAATGCAACAGACTCTGCTTCCCGATGAAATAAAATTTCGGAATTCTGACACTTCTACTGCTTCCCCATAAAAACATATTTCGGAATTCTGTACCGCCTTCTGCTTTCTCATAAAATGCAACAGCCTCTGCTTCCCGATGAAATAATATTTCAGAATTCTGTCACTTCTTCTGCTTTCTCATAAAATGCAACAGACTCTGCTTCCCGATGAAATAAAATTTCGGAATTCTGACACTTCTACTGCTTCCTTATAAAAACATATTTCGGAATTCTGTAACGTCTTCTGCTTTCTCATAAAATGCAACAGCCTCTGCTTCCCGATGAAATAATATTTCAGAATTCTGTCACTTCTTCTGCTTTCTCATAAAATGCAACAGACTCTGCTTCCAGATGAAATAAAATTTCGGAATTCTGACACTTCTACTGCTTCCCCATAAAAACATATTTCGGAATTCTGTAACGTCTTCTGCTTTCTCATAAAATGCAACAGCCTCTGCTTCCCGATGAAATAATATTTCAGAATTCTGTCACTTCTTCTGCTTTCTCATAAAATGCAACAGACTCTGCTTCCCGATGAAATAAAATTTCGGAATTCTGACACTTCTACTGCTTCCTCATAAAAACATATTTCGGAATTCTGTAACGTCTTCTGCTTTCTCATAAAATGCAACAGCCTCTGCTTCCCGATGAAATAATATTTCAGAATTCTGCCACTTTTCTGTTTTCTTATAAAATACAACGGCCTCTGCTTCCCCATGAAATAATATTTTGGAATTCTACAACGTCTTCTGCTTTTTTTCGTAGGTACGAGCCAAGAGCAGCCGTTGGTGGGCTACCGTGCCCTACTGTCAGCGCTCCGAGATCCGACCGGTCTTCGGCGAGTTTCCAGACGTCGAGGCCGACTGGCAGCGACTGCCCGACGGCCCGTCCTGGACCTGGTGGCTCCTGGCCATTCTTCCTCTCGGTCCCCAGCTGCAGATCGGCATCCTGGCCACGACCAGTCTGGAGAAGCGTCTGCGCGCCATCGAGAAGACCATCGACCACATGGAGCAGCGCTGGAACTTACCGAGCGATCTTGAGGACTCGGACGGCGACGCTGCTAAACAACAAGAGAACAATTCCCAGGACGATCAAGACGACGGCAGCGGAGTCTGTCGGGGCAATCATTGCATGATTCGTCGCTCGCGGCACGTCGACGGCCACCAGAGGTAGTATCCCGTAGTGACGACGACGACGACGACGACGAAATCACGACGATGAAGAAATAAGTCTGAATTTAGTTGGAAATGAGCGGAAAGCACCGAGAGTCTCTCATGCTCGTGCTGGAGGCTCACACTCAAACTTTTTATTCCTTATTATTATTATAAATATATTCTACATTATACATATCTCGTTTTTAAGGGTCTTACCTTCTGGTAAAATATACGTAAAAAACTCTCGAATTAAGAATAAAACAACAAACAACTAATTGTATACGTAAGAAAAAAGAAAAGAATCGACGCAATACAGTAACAAACAAAAAAATACGAGTAAATCCGTTCTTCCGATTGACAAATTTCTCTTTGTTTCTCTTAGCTCAAAAACTGATCAGAGAAAAACGATTGTACATACTTTATGATATAATATATTGTATAAATTCTTCGTGTGCTTTGCGTATGTTACATAATGTATGCAACTGAATCATTCGTCTTTTTCTCAAATCTTCGTCTGACACACATTATTATTATACACACGCGGTATCACGAAAACAAAAAGAAAGAAAAAGAAAAAAAAGGAAAAAAACATAATCTAAGCTAAAGTGAATTTCAATATATAAATAATATACGTAAAAGAAAACTCGTAGATTTTTTAAATGGCTGATAAACTTGTATAATCTTCAAATGACGTCGGCTATGATCAATATATTATTTCAGAATATATATATTAACCAAGCCAACTGTCGAACGTGATAAGACTGCATGCCTTTTCCTGCGAATAGATATTCAATAAGCTCGATCGTTCGTTCTCTCCGAACGAACGAATCAATCATGTAATAATGTTTTGGATTTTCTATGTCATTGTGTTTTTGCTCTCCTGTACCGAATGAAACAGAAAATAATGTATTGTATCAATTCGAGAGAAAAAAAATTGTAACGCGTGAATTGGTGTTTATTATCGACGATTCGTCGCTCTTAAATTATATATAACATTATATACACAACTTTTGCTCTGTCTCCTTGTTTAGATGTAAATCGTATGACGATAATAATTCTTAGTTTTAATACCTACCGTAAGTTTAAAGACTTTTTTACTAGTTAAAGAATAAATTAAAACACAGTACCTTTCGTAAGAAGTATCTCAATTTGTATAAATTAATCCTATCGTAATTATTTTTTCTCATCTCACGTCAAGTTTCATGTTAATCGTAATTTTTATACGAAAATATGCGATGGTTAAAAATTAGCTTGAAAGACTCGATATTATTATACGATAAACGATTGAAACAATAAATATAGTCATATTTATTGTCACTGATTGATTTTAAGCTGATTAATTATTAGAGCCAACTCCTAAGGCTGCGATAGGAAGCGAGAGAAAGAGAGAAACGTCATATCAATCATACAATCAAGAGTATTTAAAAAGATGATATATTGTGGAGCTATATTATGATTGTAAATGATATTTGAAAAAAAAATTCGCTTTTCTCTTTGACTTTGATCACTTTGATTCCTTACGTTGGTAATTGTACAATATTAGTTCTACAAATCAATTTATTTTTATTTTGTAAATGATATAATGTAAGCTTGAATAAATGTAACGAGGCGTACAATTTATTTTTAGGTGAAGCAATTTTTTTTATAATTTTTGTAAGAGAAAAAATGTGTGTTGAATTTATTCTAGTAAAATGTAATTTGATAGATCGATCGTATGTATCTTTTTCCTTTGAGAGTTTAAAAATTGTAGACACTCGCAAATCATCCAATTTCTCGGATAAAAATCTGTCAAAAAACTTATCCAATGTTTTTTTTTCTTTATATATCGATGTACACACTTGTATGCAAGAAAGTTTGTAAATCATATGCATTGTGATATTATTGTATAGCCTATCTTGATAATAGTGTTGCAATTTCCGCGCGTACGAAGAGAAGGAGGAAGGATCTTAACGTTCGACTTTTTCCATTTTTACTTTTAAAAAAGCATCTCAATTTATAATTATACCTTCACGCATACACACAGACTTCATATCAATCTTATTACAATAAAATTGTGAAATTGACTGATGAATCTTATTTAATATACTCGTTTATTTACTCTCGCCCCGCCGAATGTGACATATTCAACGACATGGTAATTAACGCACTTCAAGCGGGAGAGCTTAACCTACCCTCGAGCATGAATCATAGAAACCCGATTTATTTTGAAAAATTTTCGGTCGCACCCTGCCCAAGCCGCGATTACTATGGAATAAAAGTTTACGACGACAAGGTGCTTTTGATTGATTTCAATATTATATTTATAAAATCGTATTGATTTTTCATCGCGATCGTTGACGAAATTTGAAAAAAAAACTCAACTGCGTTTGTCTTTCACGCTCTGTAGGTTATCTTGTTCATATGGAAAATTTCTCATGGACCGCATCTGTTGCCACTGGTGAAAAAAGTTAAATTCGACGACGTTGATAAGGATAAATCGTTCCAAGATGAAGTAGACTATGTTTTCGGTAATTTTCCTCTTTATTAATTGTTAGGAAAACAAAAAAAATTTACTCGACCTTTGTGCGTTCAGGTTCCCCTGTTTTGAAATACATCCAATTGCTCATTTCGCGCGGTCCATGCACCCTAGAGACACTACCGGTGTACATCATCACGAAACTCGTAAATTATCTGAGCTTGCAAGATTTGGCAAAATTATTCCTGGTCTCTCCGATTTGCAACGAGGTACGTATTTTGATAATTTACAATTGTACGATTCGAGACGCTCACGACCATCGTTTGACGCAGATCTTTAATTCGAACGAAGTTTGGGAAGTTTTCTTCAAAAAATTCGACCGAACCTACGAGATGAAAGCAATGGAGAAGGATCCCAGCATCAACAAAAATTTCCGAAAACTCGTGAAAGAGCAGTATCTGCGCACGGCTACGAAGAAGCAGCTCGACTCAATGGAGAAAAAGACTTTCAAATTCGGTAAAGCTAAGAAAGAAGTTCGACAGCAGCAGCAGACGACTCCCCGCTCGGCAAGCGCGGCTAATTTATTGAAGCAAAAGTTGGAGCTCGACACCGCCAAGGCCGAAGAAGTCGTTCTTCTGGCACCGCCGGAAAAGCCGAAAATCTCCGAACTGATAAAAAATCCGTTGAAACTCGCCGACTTGATGCGAGGAGTCAATCAGAAGAAAGCAAGGCCGGAGAAGCGGGAGTTTTCCTTCGTCAAGAGTCAGGATTTCTCGTCCAAGTACGCCGGTGGGGAGGCTGGTCTGCAAGACTCGAAGGTCTCTACGATCAGTCCGTCGAAGAGCAGCAAACCAGCCGCGAAGTCGGCCAAAGCCAAAACGACCGACGACATTCTCAACGACGAGGAGATAGTCGTGCAGAAGAAGCAGCTGAAATCCATGTTGACCATGGGCCAGCTGGATGACATCAAGTCGCAATTCCAGAACGAGAAGAACCTAGTCCTGAAGAGTCCCCGAAGCATGATCATCAAGAAGCCGGAAAAAATCGCCGAGGAGGAGCCGAATAATAACGACAAACCCGCGGCCAAGAGCGTCAAAAAATCGGAAAAGAAAAAGACCAAGAGCTCGAGCAAGAGTCGCAGCAGCAAAGCTCCCAGCAGCTTCGACGCCAAGAGCCTGAGATCCGCCAACGCGCTGAACGACGACGACGACCTCGACGAGACCGGCATGTCGTTCCTCATGAAGCGATACCTCGAGGCGAGCAGCGAGGCGAGCAAAAAGCTCGTCGACTGCGAGCGTCTGGCCCACGAGACCAAGAGCACCGGCATACAGGCCGATCGTCCGAAAGCGATCAACAATAATTTAGCCACGTCGAAATTCAGCTTGCAGAGTGCGGGCACGGCGAAGACGACGAAGACTACGACGACGACGAAAAAAAGCTCGCAGAGTCGCTTGTCCAATCCGACGATCTCGTCCGCGCTCAAGACTAAATTTTCACGAAAATAATAACGAAAATCACGTTACATTGTGTTGTACAATAATTTGGAATTGAGTATAAAAATTGTCAAGTGTTTCGAAATTATTCAATGTTTTGCGCCAACTCGAGTTCGTTACCTCATTCCGCGAATAAAACATGAGCACGCGAAAGTTCCAGCAAAAACTCGTCATCGTGTAGCTAGTGAGAAAACGTCAGCCGCGGAAAAGCCTAGTAACATTTCATCGCTCCAAGTTCGCAATACGGTATATATCCGCAATGTACGTCGTGCATCTATACGTATGTAGTGGCGGGGGGTACGCAGACTCGCGCACACATTCTCTCTCTCTCTAAGCGCGAGCCGCCGTGTGCTGCACACGTAGACGTTTCACAATCTCGATATGTGTACATTGGCCTGGGCTTGCGCAGTTTATGCAATGGCGCTGCACGGACACGAATTCGTAAGTAAGTGCGCCAGAGCAGTTGATAGTAGTGGTGGATAGGAACGACGCTGACACACACAGATATCGACGGAAAGGAGGGGGCTGGACGTTGCTAGCTCACGGCGCAAACTCCGTGCAGAGAGCGTACAACGATAAGGCGATATTATTAATTTTGCTGAATAAATAATAATGCTGAATATATAATCGAGAGAGAGAGATTTAGAAAACATACTGCAAACGTATTTACGCGTTGAGATTTAGGCACACAGATTTCAGCAGCAGAAAAGTAGAGCAAAAAAGTTCGGTTCTCGCGCGCCGCCAGCGAGCCAGCTAGAGAGATAAAGAGAGACGGAGCGTCGTCGTCGTTTTATATGTATATGTTGGCGCGCGCGCGCGCTCGGCCGATAGTAGGCTCGAGCGAATATATATCCAAAGTGAATGCACAAGTGCAGTGTGTTCGTGTACATGTGATTTCAGCAACGAGTATCTCTCTCTCCTCTGTGCTCGGTGCACACACAGAGTGTTTGTGCGCACGCGAGGACCAGCACAACGTACACTAGCCCCGAAGCTCCGACGAAAAAACAGACACAATGGCGAGCTACATCAGGAACAGAAGCTCAACCAGGCAGTCCGAGTGAGTACAGTGTTTCAGGAAGTTTGAGCTTTTTCCTGCGCTTTTTTCTCTCTCGTTCTTCCGCAGCAGCGCATCATCGTCGTGCGAACGTGTGTTGGTGTTTGTGACGTTATTTCGCTCTCGGTTATATATGTAGAGTACATGTGTACGTACGAATTCGCGCAGTGTTGTAAGTGTGTGTGTGTGTGTGTGTGTGTGTGTCGGTGCATATGCAGCGATATACGTGCAAGAGAAGGAAAATGATTGCGCGAGTGTATAATATCGCTACTCGTCGCGAGACTCACGGCGCGCTGTTACGAGAGCGACGTTTATTCCGCTCTGTACGTACGCGAAAAGCCATATCGATCGAAGCTCAGCATCTTGTTGTGCGTATGTGTGTGTATGTGTGTGCGCGCAAGCATATGTGCGTGCAGTGCTGCGGAGTCGAGACTCGAGCACGCCGTCACGAGAGTAGTATACGTATTTTATCGCGTTTACATTATATGTGTGCTGCTTATTGTACATTCGATTGTATCGCGCACTCGCCTCTCGGCTTGTGTACATTATATTAAAATTACTTCTCGTTGTATACGAAACGTTTATACGCTTGAATATGTTTTCTTTTTTACACGAAAAAAAGCTTTTTGCGTGAGATGCGCGCGTTCGCGTGAATCGATGCGGAAAATTCGGCGAATGATGATGCGCCGCCGAACACGCACCTTCCACAAGTGTCAATGCAATATATATACTAATACTATGCTAGTTTCGTCTGCGCGTCGAATTTGGCAGTTACCTTGGCACACATGCTCGATGTACATACAACAACACGGAACGGGTGTGTATGTTTACGGATGCGCTCGACGTAAAACGTGCTTTTGGTGCTGCTACTATATAATCAAGTTCGATACCCGCATTGTCGCAACTGAATTTGTATTTTATTCTTCTTTTGTTTTCAGTGATACCATGGAAGATGACAACGACGAGAAAGATGACACAAAGAGGTATGAGCTATTTATAACTCGAAAAATTGATTGTTCGAATTTATTTAACGTTTTATTATGGCCGCAGAAAATCTCGAAATCTCAGCGAGAAAAAACGAAGGGATCAGTTCAATATGCTGGTCAACGAGCTCGGCAGCATGGTCAGCACGAACACGAGAAAAATGGACAAATCGACGGTCCTGAAATCGACGATTCTCTTCTTAAAAAATCACAACGGTTCGTTGGAACTTTGTTTTTTTTCATGTTTTTTCATTTTATCAATTAGATATACTTAAATGATTTTTGTTCTCCGCAGAACTCGCCGTTCGGTCGCGAGCAAACGAAATCCAAGAAGACTGGAAACCTTCCTTTTTGTCAAACGAAGAGTTCACTCATCTGACCTTAGAGGTAAAACACTATTTTTTTTTAAATATCCTAATAGAAATGAAAAACATTGACGATGGCCTAATGATAAAAAAAATCACGATTCTCTGATACAATTGTATTATAAGTTAAAGCGCATTTTAAATGACCTTTCAATGACAATTTTATTAGTTTCAAAAAAATTTTCACCGCTATCAACACAATGCTACCACTTTGAACCTTCACCGGTAGATGGCGATTATACCTTTTTGTGTAAATCTGCAAGTGGCAAATTCAAAATAATTGTATAAGTCAAAGTGAAATTGCGCGTTCATGCTTATATTGCTTCATAATGTTTATTTCCGCGAGATGCTGGAGTAACGATGGTGTTTTGCCCCGTATGCATTCCTGCTTGAAGATAAAACTGTGCTCTGCTTGTGTGGGTTTATAAGTTAAAAACTTACACTTGTTACACGAAACTCGCACTTGATAAATGTTACATGAAACTCTAGGCACTCGACGGTTTCATCATGGTTTTTTCATTCTCCGGACGCATATACTACGCTTCCGAGAGCATTACTTCTCTGCTGGGCTACTTGCCGAGCGAGCTGACCAACTCTACCATCTACGAAATAGCCTTGGAGGAGGAACAATCTCATCTGTACAATATTTTAGCCAATGCTAGAGATCAAAGTAGTATTAAAAAAGGTTGGGGTTTTTTTCTTTATTACATTTTGCGCGTCTATGACCCGAGCCTGGGAGTTTCATATTATAATGATTTCTCTGTGTGACTCGTTATTTGCAGAGCATCAAGTGTCTTTTTTGTGTCATCTGAAACGCGGCGGTCTGGATTTTAGAGAAGAGCCCATTTACGAGCTCATACAGTTTATTGGATATTTCCGTAAGTCAATGCCGTATGAATGTAATATCTAGCATTCCAACTGAAAATTCATATCCTGTTTCTTTCTTATTAGGGACGGATAACGATTCGGACATTGACAGCATGATGCCTAATAGTAGATTCGGCGGCAGTGCCAGCGGGGAATCCAAGTAATGCTTAGGCTTTATTGATTATTTAACTTTTTTCCAATTGAAAAAAAATATTCATAAAATCATTTCTTTTTGTAAATAAAAAATGAAGAACCGTATTCGTATGCACCGGTCGCCTTCAACTGCCTCAACTGATACGAGAGATGTCCGTCATGGACAACACAAAGACGGAGTTCACGTCGCGACACAGTCTGGAGTGGAAATTTTTGTTTCTGGATCATCGAGCGCCGCCCATCATCGGCTATCTGCCCTTCGAGGTTCTCGGTACGTCCGGCTACGACTACTACCACATCGACGACTTGGACAAAGTCGTCACCTGCCACGAATCGCGTAAGTATCGATCCGTCCTTTTTTTCTTCAAAACAAGACGTTATTTCTTCATGATTAATCATTATATTCGTCGCAGTGATGAAGAAAGGCGAAGGCACCTCGTGCCACTATCGATTTCTCACCAAAGGACAGCAATGGATCTGGCTGCAGACTCGCTTCTACATCACGTACAATCAGTGGAACTCCAAGCCCGAGTTCATCGTCTGCACTCATCACGTGGTCAGCTACATCGACGTCGTCAAGCAGATGCGACGGGGAGTTGATGAGTTTTCGAGCATCCGCGAGCAGGACGACAGCACGATAATGACATCGACGAAGCGTCGAAACGTGAGTATTATTTTTTTCAATCAAACTTCGGTACTTTTGGCAAATTTCAAAACGATAAATTTAATTTTTCAGAATTCCATGAGTCACGTTCACACGCCGTCGGGCTCGTCGAAGTCCTTGAAAACCTCAAAATCGGTAGCGTTGCGATCGTCGCGAATTCGCCATCAGGGAAACGATTCCGACACCACCTCCGTATCGGCTTGTTCGCGAAATTCCAGATCGTATCAATCGACCCCTCAGCACGTCTCCAGGGATAAGGTACCCTCGACCAGCAGCTCGGCGAGTTTGAAGCAGCAGCAGATGATACCGAGCAACGATATCGGGTCGACGGATTCTCAACAGCAGCAGCAGCAACAAACGTATCAACCTCAACCTCAGCCTCAGCAGCAACAGCAACAACAACAACAACAACAACAAATGGTGCAAAAGATGAAGATCGAGCAGCAGCCTCAGCCTCAGCCTCAGCCACAACCTCAGCACTGTCCCGATTATCTGGAACCGACGCAGTACGCCTCTGTGACGGTGGATCCCCTGGTCGCCGAGGCGTATCCATCGAACACGGCGATAATCGCGCCGCTTCAAGCCACCGAGGTACCACTAAAAATTTTTTTAATTTTTCAGTTGAATCTCACTATAACGTTTACTTTTCACGCAGATACTTCATCAGCAAGGCTTGGTGATGCCCCCGGCGCCGAATCAGATTCAAGACGAGCTACAACGAAAGCACGAGGAGTTGCAACAATTGATAGTCCACCAGCAGGAGGAACTACGCCGAGTATCGGAACAACTTTTGATAGCCAGATACGGAATATTTTCACCCCTACTCAATGTAATTTTTGAACATAATATTTTAGAACGTAAATTTGAATTTTTCGTTGATCGATGATCATTGCGACAGGTTGGCGTGCCATACAACGCGAACGTACCGTGCCAACAGCCGACCCGCTGCGTGAATCCGCCTCACCAGACGATCCCGACGGTCGGCACGTTCCCAGTGCCCATCACTCTGCCCGTGAATATAGTGCCAACGGAGATGTTTCCGCATACCTTGCCGGTGTCGCCGTCGCCCATGTCGAATCACGTACAGATGATGACACCCCAGCAGACCCCGACGCAGCAGCAACCGCAACAGTCCCAGCATCAGAATCCACAGCTGGTTTCGCAGCTCAATCAGCAGCAGCAGCAGCAGAGTCAACATCGCGACGAGCAGCAAACGGATCTCATAGCTTTTCAAATGTGCCAACCGAACGATCTTATTTACGCGAATATGGACGCGACCACTGCTCAGCAGCAACAGCAACAGCAGCAGCCGCAGAGACCGCCGAGAAATTAGAAGAAGAAATCTGTGTTAATAGTGACTTTCGCGTTGATTTTATCCACAACGGTGAACGTTTCACATATATGCCGATAGTTACCAGGGAGAACCACGTGAGTGAGAATGATAATGGACAATTATATAGCCGACGATCGACGCGGATTTTTGTAGATGTTATCAGAGGTAACCAAACGTACAAGTATCATGCATTTTAATCATACAAGTGTAACGTTAAACATTTTTTTTTCTATCAATGTAAAATACGTTTATCGATTAACATCCATAACTGTAGATATAAATATTTAATCGGTGCTTGAATTATATTTATCGAAGGGAGAGAAAAAAATCTTACAGTTTGGAAAAAGTATTTTCGAAAATAGGACAATTAGGTAGTCGAAATGTCTTTTCGTTAATTATAGAATCATGTTTGTAAGACGTGTCAATTATAAACGAGCTTGTACCTGGTAGAAATTCTCAGCATTCATAATGGCCTAGTGACCAAGAAATACCCATTCAAATTGTTTCAAAGTATATTTACAATAAATTGACATGCTTTTGGAGAGTTTTTCGATACAATGTTATTAGAAATATTTAACAGATTTTTGATGTCCTGAAAACGACAATTCTACTGTTTCTAAAAATTCAGATCAGTTTTGAACCACTTCAATACCATAGTACCACTTTAAGCCACCACCGCTAGATGGCGAGTACCTTTAATTCTGTAAACGCAGTTTCGAACGAAGCACCCTTGGCGGTTTATACTGAACTATTTTCTGAAATAGTCTATGAAGCAAACTTATCATTAGTGCTAAAAAATCCAGTGCCTATTGCAAAACCTATTTTTGATCACTAAAAGTTGAATGCCGTTTGTATTTCATCGGAAAACATCGCGAAAATTTTAAATTTGAATTTTTTAAATCATTGTACACAGAATTAATTGAGGAACGTGATTATTTCCTAACATGATATAGTACAAATACAGCAATCATTTATAAAATTCAAGCATCAAAGATGATGCTATACGAATCAAATTAACAAAGACAATTTAATTGATGTTTTACTTTTCAAGTATAAAAAATTAAAAATAACTCATGAAAAACAAATAGTAACTCCAGCGAATTTCATGTTGTCGAAAATGGTCAAAAAAATATTTTAAAAAAGACATGGAGAATTAGGCCATAAAAATATTGAAAAACACTACACTTTTGATCCGAAGTTCTTAAATGTCTAAGAAACTTTTTTGTTGTCCAAAAAACTAGCCATAAAATATTGAGCATTTCTACCAGTCAAACAACATTCCATTCCGTGGAAAAAATATAAAGTTATTAACTTTTGGTGATTATACCACTTAATGTTGAAATTCATGATAATTAGTTACTTCAAAGCTAGGTTTCAAGAGAAGTCACAATGCAGTCTTTCCTAAAAAAATTCAACTCTTGCCAAATAGATTATTTCTTTTGAATCAACTCAAACATTTAAATTGAAAGATTTAATGTACGGTTGTAATAGTTTGAAAATTTAGATAGAAAGAAAATCAAAGTGATTACATCAGTGTGCAATTATTAAGATATATTTTTAATATTTACCGTGCGTTAGCGCTATATTTGGACGTGCTTATAACTGGGAAAGTTGAAAGAAACTCAACTTTTGACAAAAACTGTAAATACGCATCGCATATATAGATATATCATAAATTTACCTATTGCATAATAACATTTGTGTAAATAGTTGATGGGATTGATAAATCTTCCTCGCCATTTTATATAAATCTTATATCTAAATTGAATGTGATTAAAGCCCCCGTGCAACGTCCCATATAGATTTTTTTCAATCGAAACGATGTTGAAAAAATAGTTTTATATGGTAACGGAATGACAATAAATTATTCGAACTTTTAGGAAATAAGAAACGAATTGCATTTGATCGAGAAATATTTTTTTGAATTTAAACTTCCTCAATTGTAGGACCAAAGTTCAATTCAAATCGGGACTTAAAAAAAATTTCACGGTGATCAGTAAGGTCTCTAAATTAAAATTTTCTATTTTGAAATTTGTAGTTCTAAATATTTTCAACAAGTATTACGAAGCCACATCAAGAGACCTTATGCAGACTAATCTAAGAAGCAGGACCAAAAAACAAATTTTAAAACGAAAAACTAATGTTAGCTTAGTCCGTAGCATAATGTATGTATTATTAAGCTCTATACTTAATTACAGGGTAAAATGAAATATTTTTCAACAGATCGTATATTTTGTAACTGTATAAATTTTATTATTTAATAATAATATGGATGACTATATGTTCGTATAAAAAATTGACGACGACGTTTTTATCATAGAACGTAACATGTATATTGTAGCAAAAAAAATAACGAAAAACAAAACGTATTCACTAACCTAAATCAAGCATTCCAAAGATTATATTTATTACGAAAAATAAAAAATGCAGCGATTTATATTTCTGAAAATATTTTTCAACGTCGAGAAAATTTCAATGCCGAATATTTTTTTGAATACCATGAATATAAAGCTTTCTGCAAATTCAAATGCGACACGACATTTTATTTCATTCTGCAACCTACTCCTAAATTTTAATAAATAATCTTTTATACAAGTCATTTTATTTACAATTTTATCCCTTTCAATTTTTGACGAACGAAGTCTAACTCTATACTCTAAAAATTAAACGCTTATCAAGTATTTGCATCTTACCAATCTAGACTCACTACAAAAATAATGAATTTATGAACTACCAGGTAAAAAGAGCGGATTACGCAACCGCACAGAGAGGCACAAGAGTCGCTGCAGCCGCTAGTTTTTCAATTTTCTCAAAGCGTCCATTAGAATCTGCATCTCCACATTAACATTATTCACGAGCTCCTCCACTTGATACTTGCTGTCTATTATGCTGATGGATTGCGTGTACGGATCGTATCTGACACCGAAACTCCGCGGAATGGTTTCTGCGAATTTTCTGCGCAAAATGTAAAATCGGATTTGTTATGAATCTCGAAAGTTTGTAATCGGTCTTTGTGTAACGTTGACCTTTTAAGCGCTCACGAGAGAGAGAGAGAGAGAGAGAGAAAGAGAAGATGCTCGAAAAAACTCCACAATCTCTTATCTCTCTCTCGAGTGCATAATAATGAATCTCCGCAATAACAAAACTCTCGCTATAATTATACTCACATCATTTTTTCCTTGGCATCCTCGAAATCCTCGGCCACGAAGTAGACCGGCTGGTACTCGGTAATCGGATACTTCTGCAGGGCCGTGACGGCGGGCTCGAAGGCCCTGAGCTCGGGCTCGCCGCTCATGCTGTACTCGAGCTCACCGAACGACGACAACAGACCGGCGCCGTAGGCTTTGAGCTCGCCGTTCTGCCGACAGAGGCCGAACTCGACCGTGAACCAGAAGCACTGGAAAATTTTCAAACGATTTTGTTTTTATAAACGATTGTTCGCCGGAACAGAGATTAAAAAGAAAATGAAAGTGAGTCCGAACCGTGGCGAGCTTCTCGATGTACTCGTCGGGTGCGCCGAGCGACGCCAGTCCGATGACCTGCGAGAACTGAGCGAAGGCCGGATCGGCGAAGAGCGGCACGTGGCCCAGCACCTCGTGGCAGACGTCGGGCTCGGGCGTGTACAGGGGCTTGCTGCTGTGCCTGATGTACTGCGTGCTGTGAAACACTCGGAAGGCGAGACCGGCGAGGAAGTCACGCGACGAAAGAAGACCCGCCACCGGCCGCAGCGTGAAACCCGTGCAATCTGCAAAAGCAACAAAACCCGATGCACATTCCATTATTTTTTTTTTTTTGCTTAAATTATTGCGATATATCGTAATGCTATACGCGCGCGCTTCATCCGATACCTGCGCGAAAATATATACGCACATGTAGTTGAGAAATTACTATGAGCGTAATCTAAGATGATTCGAGAGCTGTGTGTGCGGCCTTTTTTTTCGCACTCTACTAATAACTATAATTCATCGAGGTTGTGTATACGCGATGAAATAATTATATATTAGGATCGTTGCAGCTTCCATTATGTAATAATAATATTATAGTGAGGAAACATCTCGATGCACATGAATACGCGATGATAAGCCGCAATCACGCCTCCAACCGAAAGAAAATCTGTCAGAGCCATTGACACGATATTATTATACGCATTATCATACGCCCAATAAGCAATTAGCGAGGGACGATTGTATTTATTGACGTTATTATGTAAAGTAGGAGAGTAAATTGAGCAATTGATTTCGAGAACGATCCGTCACATGTGTATATATTATCGGTGAGAACGTTATCTTCGCGCTTCGCACTGGTCCAGAGATTGTACATTGTGTACTTTTATCGATGCGTACCACCCGATTTTCTGTGTTTCTCTCTGTTTTTTTTCGCAGCCTCGAGTGACGTCGGTGGCGTTACATTATTTTTCCTCTCCCACCACCCCCCGTCAAGATCTCGACAAATATGTTTTTGTATCGAGCGCTGCGATATTGTGTCGTTGTGCAAAAGCGCCGTTGCGTAAAATAAAAAAAAGTGCACGCGGTAAGTATGTGATTTTTTTCTCTCTTCAATTTCACATTACGCGAGCGCACTCGCCGATCAGCGTAATTTAAATCTTTTTTCTCTCTCTCTCTCTCTCTCTCGGAGCGTTATTAGCGAGATCGTATAAATAATTGACTCTCGGCAAGACTCACCTTTCAAGAAGTTGGAAATGTCCTCGAGTTGCGGGATATTATCCTCCTTGTATCCGCAATTTTCGATCAACAATGGAAACACGTGATTGTGCTCTCGGCACGCGTACTTGGGATACAATTCCGTCAATTTTCGAAACACGGCGCCCCAGGTTTTCGTCTCCTCCTCGGTGTAGTCGACCCTCGGAATGGGTTGGCCACTGCGCAAAAAAAATCAACCCAATAAGAACCACGAGAAAATAATAATACTCTATCCCGAAATCGTAGAGAAATTATGTACGGGTCATTACTATTTGTAATTGTAGGCGATGTCGGCGAAGTACTTTCGCCGGGCTCTGTAGACCGGATCGGTGAAGCCCGGGTGATCGGAGTCGAGCTCCGAGCCGTAGGACAGGATCTGATTGGCGAACTTGTCGAGGTCGCGCATACGACGCGGAAACCACGGCACAGTGCCAAGGTTGTCTCGGTAGTTCCTGCAAATGCATAATTATTACGTCGATTCGATGAAAAAGCCGATGTCATTGTAATGTGTATAAAGTGTACCTTGAAATAATCGAGAAATATCCACACTGATGTTGAAGCTCCTCCACGGCCTGGCCTAGATCGCCTCCCGGTGCGCACTCGACCATGAACTCGTACCCATTGGCCTGTCGTAAACTGCTTCGGGACTCGATGTGAAGCAGATTGACTTTGTGTTTCTGTAAAAAAATTTTTTATGAAATTTTCAATCGATCGCGACTATGATTGTGTTTTCTTTTCTTTCCAAGTTACGACTCGTAATTGTTGTGTGCATTACTGATGAAATTTTTTACAAAGTACAAAAAATGTCGGAAACAATTTCGCTTCATTTGCTATCGTGTAAAGAGCTATGTAAGAAAAATTTACGAATTTTTCCGCGGGTAAATTGTTAATATTTTTCCATCGCTCGCTCGAGAGTCGAAACAATTTTGTAAAAAAAAAGAAAAGAAAAAGAAATCTCCGCAGAGTGCAAACCATAAGGTTTTACAGAGGTTTGTTAAAAAGATTAACTTAGTTTTGTCGAGGAAGAAATCTTTGTTCCCAAAATTTGTACTTACGGCAAAAAGTTGAAGATAGCGACCGAGCGCGCCAACTTCGTCCTCCTCTCGCGGCGAAAATATCAGACAAGTGCTCTTGGCCGAGTCCCTGCCCTCCTTGATGTAGTTCCCTCCACTCATAAGTTTCGGCTGCAAAAAGTTTTCGGTGCAAAGAAAGTTTTAGAAATGAGACTTCAATTTGCTGAACTAAATAGTCGTAAACTTATGATTTTAAAGAGCCGTACATCCTGTATTATCAACATGTTTAATTCACTCTGAGATTCACTACTAATAAACAGACACACATTTATCGATCGATTTTGATGCAAAAAATTGTATACTTGAATGTCACTCGCGATTTTATTCAACAATAATACGACAGAAGAGAAGGACTCGAGAAAAATTGAGACGAATTGACGAACGCGATTGAAGATCGATACTCGAATACGAATAGTTTCTGTCGAGCCATGTGCTCTTATAGGTGTGTAAGTGGCTTCGGAAGCTGTTGCCCTTCTCCGCTCTCTCGTGATTGTTTTCCCTCTCCATCTCTCTTCGACTGGATCTTTTTACAAAAGAATACCGAACATTTTTGAAATTTCACTTTGACTTTGTATATACCCAGTGTGGGATATGACGATGCAATTACGCTCGAGTATTACTTATTATGTTATGTCGTCATCTCGATAACGGCGCTCGTTCGAGAAATCATACATAATCGGTATGACTTTTTTTCAATATAATCATATTATTCAGACACAAACATGATCATGATTTGTATTGTATTTGCTTAAAAATTATAAACTCTAAAAACTCCCATATTTACTTTTTCTCCACCTTACGATCGCACGTATTAGCTTTATCAATGCGTGTGTAAACACGCGCTCGCATACAATTGTTATAGTAATCAATAACTATATGTATATTTATTATCGCATTGGAGAGCAGCATCGCGGAACATGATGTATTTGTTTCATCATCGCCGATCACTTTTTTTCGGCAGGCAAAGAGTTAAGGAATGATGCAATTTTCAAGATCATTTCACGGTGCTCTGCGAGAGAGACCTTTCTCACGGTCGCAATAAATCATTATCTTTGCATCATTTTCCGAAAGTTCATATAATACACACAAACACGCACGCGATCGATTATTATCTCTTACTCTCCGTTTTCTCGGGCTTTTCCCGCGAGTAATTTACATTTTCCCCCCAAAACAGGAAGGAAGCCAGTCGAAAATCATCGAGAGTGCTCTATACGATTCGCGCCGCTTAATACCGCAGTTATAATTTCAATGAGAACTGCTTCCCCTGCTATTACCTGTGTATATATACGGAGGGCGGCTGCTGCTACTGCTGCTGCTGCACGACGACGAAAATTGGATCTCGCGCGCGATGCAACGTCGGAGGTAATTTAGCGCGCGCGAGGGTGTGTTGTCTCTCGCTCGCTCGTTGATGGCATCAACGTCATCGCTCGTCGCGTAACTTCGAAAATACATCTTCTTTTACACGTAGTAGCAGTAGAGCAAGGGAATTTTCCTCTCGGTGGTGCTGGCGGCGGCTTCCTTCATTTCCTCGGTCCGCCACCCTCGATATGGGTTTGCTCGCGAAGGATCTTACCGATCAAAAGGCCGTTGAACTTTGGGTGGCGCTCGACGAGTGAGAGGGATGCAAATTCGATTTATAATGCCGAGAATGACGATATGGAAAGAAATTGTCTCTCTCTATAAACACGGGAATCTCGAGTTACTCGAGACGTAGCCAAGGAATCGATTTTCAAAATGACGATGACTCGCTGAATAAATTCGCTCGTCTAGCCTATCTATCTCCACTCCGAAAACGTAACGAGCTCTCCTGTACCACCTCCACCAGGCTATATACAGTACATTAACTACTTCGCTACTTTTTTTTTTTGTTGAAGTTCATCGAGCGACTTTGCCTAATTGCGTACCACGGGGCGGCTTGATACACCGAACCCATCAACGTGCAGCTTTTTCTTCCTTCTTTTCTTTTTTTCGTTCGTTCGTTCGGAGGTCGTCAGCAACACGTAGAGCTGCATTTTTTTTCGTTGGTTTTTTTTAGTACATTCGTCCGCGCGCATCTTCGGGCCACCGAGAACTCGACTGACAAGCCGGTTTAAATTAGAGCGAGTTAATACATGCGAGCAGCAGTGGAGGGACGTATAAAATGCTTCTTGTTTTTGCGCGGACCGACTTCTGCGCGGACTAGAAAAGGGCGGAATGAGCCCGGGATTGGCGTAATTTGTGTGTTATTCCGTGGGACATTTTTGAAGCTCTCGCACTCGTCGCAAGCTCACTGCGGGTCAAAAATTTGAATTTTTTACAAGAACTAAGCATAAAGCGTCACTGCCCGGAAATCTCGTTTTTTGAGAGAGAGAGAGAGAGATAAAAAAGTCGTACAAAGAACGGCCGTACAACTCGATTAAAACGGAGGGAAAATTGTATATACGAAGCAGTAGCAGCAGCAGAAGCAGCTATATCGAGCGGCGATTCGCAAAGTTCAGCCCCATTAAATGGAAAACCGATGCCCCGCTCTGCATGAATTTAACATGACTTTCGAAACTAGGATGAGACGCTTCAAAAACAACGAGCGGTGCAGCACATACATACACACAGAGAAAATCGCATATTGCGCGCGTGGAAACTCACCTTATCCGGTGGGGATCCGGAAATCTGTACTTCAACTTCGGCTCCAGTTCGCCTCATCATGTTTGGATTTCACACGCGCGCGCGACCCGCTTCGATGTACAACAATGTTCGAGAAAAGCACGAGTGTAGCGAGCAAATGTTGTCCCTCGTATATATGTATACCGTTGACTTTAGCTATAGTTTTCCACGCGGCGACTAACAACGAGCGAGAGATGCTGCAGGGCTCTATAGATATATTGCCGATGTGTCTCGGAGACAGACCACCTCTTGGCTTTTTGTGCACGATTTATGTCGCGATTTTTGTTTTCTTACTATGTGCACACGAGCTTTTTTTTTAACAAAAACAACACGCGCACAAACCCGGCGATATATCGATCGGCCGAGAGAGTCCAAGTAGCGCCTGAGTCGCGGGAGCAACAAGTAGCTCGATATATTTATGTATGTGGATATATAAACACTCGGGCTCCACTCGATCGGAAGAGATGCTGCTGCCGACTGGTGGAGGGGAGAGAGCAGCTCGTGTTCTCTTTCTTTCTCAACGGCACAGAAACTGCGTGTGTGTTTGATTTGCATATCTGTGTGCAGCTCGTTATAATTGATTATTTTATCGGGGCATTATTGTGAAACGCTCGTCGTCGCTCGAAAGTTGGTGAATGGCTGTGGTGAAAATTGTCGGCTCATCAACTTTTATATACCGAATGATATTTGTGCGCATGACGTTCTATTTTCATCGCCTCGTTGTTGCGAGTCAACGTAATCTTGCCGTTTTATGGATTTTTCAGCATTACGCTACACACCAGAGTACACCAGTACCCGAGAAAAAAAACGTATATATAGTTGTTCCGAGAGATAACGCGACGCGCTCATAAATCGTGCGAATGTTTGCGAACATTCGATGATATTATAACGCTATAAGCTATTAATATATCATGTATAGATTGTGTGTGTGTGTGCGCGCAAAACCCCTAAAATTCACACGATATTTGCTCGAGGCAAACAGATGATACACAACTAATACCCAACTGTTATTCATACCAATTATGAAGTAGTTCAATGCTAAATACACCTGTTCTAAATGTGGAAAAAAAAAGGATCGTCTTTTTTGACGTGCTTTCGAACTGGAAGAAAACCGGGTTTTTCCGCAGTCGCACAAAATACCCCTTTGTGCGTGTGTACCGGCGTGCGGCTGCAGCAGCGAAAGTTCCTCCCGAAACGAAACTTCATAATGCAAATTTATTTGAACTTTTCGAAGCTCACGCGCGCAAGCTCGAGCGTAAAAGTTTAATTCGAATGCGTTATAGTTGCGCACTGCACATTCGTACTCGCAACTTGCAGCCTTTTCTCAGGGTCCGCGACGCTGCAGCAGCTTATGTAATAATAAAAGGCGCTCGCGCGCTCGGAAAAGGCATCTCTCTATCGGACCTAAATTTCCAAAGCGCGCCAGATGACGCCCGAGTATGAGCAGCAGCAGCAGTAGGAGCTTTTGAAAACGTTAACAATGATAAACATGGCTGTTGCTGCAACTGCAACTGCGCGTGGTATAGCTGTTTTGTTAAGTTTTTGCATAAAAAAAATCATTACGAAAACTTTGTAAATACGAGTATATATAAGTTGCAGCAAACTACCCTTGTTTATTTATGCGACCAAAGTTTCAATGCTGGAGGAAGGAGAGAGAGAGAAAATGAAAATAGTGAAATAAATGCAGCGGGAAGTTTATTCGATGTGCTTTGTAGTGTAAATTTATTGCAACAGCCGTTATAATATCGCACCATATTTTTTTATTTACTTTTATATCTTTTTCTCAAGAAATGGTGTACTGCAGCACAGAAGAAACTTTTAGTCACCTAATTATAAGCATATACAAATTACGCAATCGTAAGTATCTCGATGAAAAATCGCCGCGGCGCGCAGCGAGGGCCCGTAATGTGCAGAGTGCGGAGTAGTGGCGCGCGCGCGCGCGATCGTAAACCCTTGCCGAATCAACAGCTGCTGCTGTAGCCTGCCACACAGAGCTGCACACCGGGCTTGCCAACGAGCAGGCGCGCCAAACGCCGAGCCGCCGATTCCGCTCTCTGCGCCGCTGTGGATATACCGGCACACACAGACACAGAGAGAGAGAGAGAGAGCAAGAGAGCGATGAAAAGCTCGTGCGCGCTCCAGCGGCGGCAGTAGTAGCGGCTCAGCAGCCACGCGAGTCGCGATCATCGCAGTATCCCCGAGCTTGTAAATCAGCGAGCTTGCAAGCTCGCGTGCGCGTTCGAAAACATGTAAAGCTTTCGAGATCACATCGAGTGTCGAGTGACATCCACTTTGGTGCGTAGTGACGTATATCATACGTGATTCAAAAGAAGACGAGAAAAATGTGTGGAAGACTGTCTTGGCTGCTTTTGGCCGCTTTTTTCATCTGCAATGGTAAGCTTGCACACACACACATACACGCATTAGGAGCACACACGAGAGAACCTGCAGCCGGATGATCATTATGGCCAATTTGGGGGAGCTTCGAAACTCGTGCGGGTTATTAAATCCCTCTCTTGCCGAACTTGGAAAAGCTCCGCGAACTTTCTTATGCGAAAACTGCATTATACTACAAAAGGATGAGAGAGAGAGAGAGAGAGAGAGAGGAGAGAGCTGAGCGTGCGATAGGGGGGTAGGTAGGGTAGAGAGAATTCAATAAAGGGGGGCGAAAAGTAAAAGCTTCGAGTAAAATATTTTAATCAAACTTTTAACGCGTTCGAGCTTCATTGACTTTCCGATTTTCTGTCTCGCGCTGCCGCTGCTGCACGTGGGTCAAACTGTATTACATACCGTACCCGCGAGTTATTATACGAAACAAATGAAGTTAAGGAAAAGTTACGGATGAAAAGAAGATTCAGGCTGGTTAATTAAGTAGCCTCGATTTTTTCTTTCTCACCGATTCTCATCGACGTATCGAATTTTAGATATATAATATACCCAGTTACGATGGCGACTCGATGAGATACCCAATTGTACTTCTGTAATTATAAGATTTCGAATTCAACGAGTTTCGATTTACATTTACATTTTTCAATTTACCCAGGCGCGCGTGGAGCTCGAGATTACATATATCTATCCCGCATTCGAAACTCGATTCAAGAAAGTATCGGAAAACGAGCGCGCGTCATTTTATTCATCGCGACCGACGACGCACACAAGAATTACGGACTCTTTTTTTGCGCCAAAAGCTCTCCGCGCGGGGACGCAACTTGAATGAAGCTCGCATTGACTGAAAATTCCCGTTACCGGGATGTATAGCCCCTCTCTGCGATGATAAGTAAATATACCGTGAGCTAGCTAGCGCGCACCAACACGAAAATTGTTTATACGTGGCTGTACGCATGCAGAGCTTTTGATAGCAGTAGCGGCAGTACATACAACACACACGTATGGCGGATCGCTAAATAAATACACGCAGTGTCACACACGGAAGCTATACAGGTACAATTGTGTCGTATGTGTAGCTCTATCGTAGCGCAACGCAGTGCGAAGCTCGCGCGGCGCGTCGGCTGCGCTTTACGACTACTACTACTAGTATATATAATTCGCTCTGTGCAGTGCATGGCTACACGGCTAATACACACATAGCGGCTATGCCTCGCGCTCTTTTGTGCTTGCACGGGTGGCTCGAGTCGCGCAACCCGGCGTTGATCACGCACCGTTGAAAATTGGCTTCACCGCTGAAATTTAGACTCCGTTATAAGCTCGGAGCTAGCTTATGCACGACGCTCAAATTTGTGGTTATTGCTCCGTGTGCGCCGTGCAGCCCTATATACCCGTGCTGTTTCAATCTTTGATAAAGAAAGAGAGAGAGAGAGAGAGAGAGGAAGCATAGGCAAAATGGGATTGGAATTACACGAGATGGAATTTTGCGAGTTATGGTATTGTTTAATGGATTGAATGAAATCAGCGAGCACTGCTACTCTCTGTGCATGTGTGTGTGTGGAGTAGTAGTACGTTTAATGCAGAGAGAGACGAAATAACGGGTTACGGTTATTATTCCGCGTGCAGCGTGCGCGAGTTTCGACGATTTAACGAAGCTTATAGCACCATGCCGACGAATTACGCACTCGCTACTCCAGTTGAGAAGCTGAAAAATTTCCTTTCCCAAAGCGAGTTCTCAGCTCTCTCTCTCGTACAAACTGTATAAAATGAAGGGAAAAAAATCAAGTTTAAGTATTTAGTTTTTATATAAGAAAACGACTCGCAAAAGTTTCGGAAGAAAACTCCCTTTTCCTGCACGCGAGATTATAACGCCGCGCGTTATAGTGTACAACGTTTTTGAACTGCCTCGTTGCGCGAGGCCGTTTTTTGTTAACTGCTTTACTGCTGCGTACCTATACACACACACACACACACACACCCTCGGATGCTTATCCACTGCTCTCCGCGCCAGCAGCTCATTCGCAAAATTTCATCCCTCGCTGTATACGGAAAATTGAATAAATTTTTCCCTTTAAAGCGCTGCCCGTTATCCGACTTTTTACGCGCGCGCTTCAATGACGCGCGCTCACTACTGTACTTGCCCTTCGTATACGGCAAAAGAGCAAAAAATAGGAGCAAAAAAACCTGTATAGATACGAGTTGAAAAAGTTCGATGAGCGCAAATTCTCTCCCGCCGCTGCTAGTGCTGCGTCCAAGCCTGAATATATAATTCCGCTTGCGCGCGTGTAATAAGCATAATTTGGTCTGCTGAGCTTTTACAAATATTTGCCTTCTGCGCCATGGGGGATGAAGGAGACTACGCACACACACACAAACTCACAAGTAAGTACAGACAGACGGAGGGAGAGAAAAAAAGTTGAGCTACGCGAGCGCGAGACTACTTCTATCGAAGTTAAATTGCTGCCTGCCTGCCTGCAGTACGATTCGCGAGAGCTGGGAAATGTTTTTTACGAGTGTATACGTATACTGCGATCGAGAGCTTCGACGGAGAGTTTTGACGGAGCAAATGTCACGCAAGGACGATTTATTTCTATACGGCAATGAGGCATCATTGACGCGCGCGTCTATATATGCTCACTCGCTCGTTGCTGCTGCTGCTGCTGTGCGCGGACCGATTGTGACGGGAAAGTTTTTTTCCGTGTTCGCGTTCGAAAGCTCCAGAGTCGAAGAATAAGGGGAGAGGGCAAAAAAATAAGAGTAATTAAAAAACTGTCGATTCGAAAATGAGCGAGGAATGATAAATCAAAATTACGCTCGAATGAAAGTTCGCCCGCAAGCGGTAGTGCAGAGAAGCAAAAAAGGTGCACGTGGCCTTATCGTCTTTCACTCTCTCTCTCTCTCTCTCTCTCTCTCTCTCTGAGGAAAAAAAGGGAGACGCGTCCAGTGGAAATCCATTTTGCTGCAGATTTCCTCCTGTAATAAAACCCTCCCGAGTTGATGTCTGTCCCTCTCTCGCAAAGTCGAGG